ATTTATTTTATAGGGGTTTCTAGTATTTTATTACGAAACTATAGTGAGTAAGTGCTCTATTGAAATTGTGGTTACTGGCAGATTTGATTATATTGATGTTATTGTTATTTTAATGTGTTTTTGTCTGACGATCGATCGATCGATCGTTCGTTTACATACAAATGTTCTTACGTACATATAATGCTTATGTCTGGTTTCGAGAGACAAAACAAATCACTTCAAGATCATGTCAGGTTTAAGTTTAGCAATTTCCCTTTACATATTAACTATTCTTCCTGGGCTTCTCTTAAGTTTCTTGACTGCTATAATTGTTGTTGTTGTTTAGTTTTGTGCTCGCATAAAAGGAGTCTTTAATGTTTGCTCTAGTTTATAGTGTCTTGGCAAACGCAAGAAAAAAAAAAGAAGTTTTAACTTGTTTTGCAAAGTTTAAAGTCCTCTACTTTTGAGTTTGTGTTTTTTAGTTATTACAGCACTTTTTTCTTAACTAGTTTTTAGGATTAAACTACAATACAAAAAGTTCGTATTCGTAATGTATGTAATAGAGTTTTAAGTAAACTGACGCCTTGATTAATCTTTTGCGACTCTTTTTTTAGAGTTTAAAGTATTATGCAAAGATTTCTTTTTTGTTTTTATAATATTAAGACGTCGTCTGTTTTCTTAACACTTAAGAGACGTTTTTTCGTTTTCATTCATTGAGTAGACTAATGGCGAATTGTTATTCAATTTAGAAGTCTATACAGGAAATGCTATTAACGATAGACTTGTTTTGCAGACATTTTACAATATATACCGCCAAGAATTAGCGGATAGGGAAATTGTAATATTGCTTACACTTAATGATGATTAGCAAATTAAGACTAAATTCAGAGAAATAATAAAACGTTAATGATTAAGTTTCAGTCGTAGGCATGTAAATTGTTTTAGTATTAATTATGATTTTCTTTTCAAATGTAGATTTTTCAATCCTAGTTTTGTTGATTCATAGGTTCCGCTCTCCGTCTCTGGTTAATTTCTAGAATGAAGTGATCTTTAGGTTTTTCTCAACTACTAATGATCGTTCTAGAAACGGGTAATGAAAGATGATTTAAATGTTCTAGGAATAACGGGAAAAGAGATGAATTCCTCATCATTCCCAGAACATTCAAATCATTTTTCATTCACCGTTTCTAGAACGATCATCAGTAGTTGAGAAAAACCTTAAGATCATTTTATAATTCTGGTTTAATAAAATCATATGATCACTTTTCAAACATAATTTCATATGATGAAAATATCTCTTTTTAATTGTAGTTTTGGTAAATCCTTAAGATCACATATCCATTTTAAATCCTTACAATGACTTCTCAAATCGTGTTTTCGAAAAATATTCAGATCACTTATCCATCGTGATATAGTAATTAAGGATTACTACTCAAATCGTGTTTTAAAAGCTCGTTAGAACACTTTTTAGTCATGTTTTGGAAGATCCTTAAGATTGCTTATCAATCATTTTTTTAAAAAAGCGTAAGATCATCTCCCAATTATGGGTTAATAGAATAGTAATTCTAAGATCACTTTTTAATTTAAAACACTTAAAATTTGATAAAATCCTTTAACAATCCTGTTTTGTAGGATCCTTAAGATCTTCTCAAGAGTAATTATGTATGTAATATTGAAGATCACTTCCTAAACATGGTTTACAAACACAATCATATCACTTGAATAGTACCTATTGATCAGTTTCCAATCATAGCGAGGTAAAAGATCACTTCTTAAAGGCATATGGTAGATCCTTAATATTACTTCTAAATCGTGATATAAAACTTTAAGATCCCTTTGTTGATCCTGGAGATCTCAACTTATTACTCATTTCTAGAACTTTAAACTCGTCTATCAATCCTAAGCTATCATCTCAAGATAATTTCTTAAACGAGTATAAATCGTGGTTGGAAAAACCTTATGATCATCTCCCAATTGTGAATGAATAGAATTTTATGGTCACTTCTCAAAATGTTTTAATAAGTGTGGTTTCTTAGATCTTTATGATCACTCCTCAAGATCACTAACTAATCTTGGTTTACGAACACATTAATATGGTTTATTAGATCTTTAAGATCACTTCTCAAGATCACTAACTAATCTTGGGTTACGAACACATTAACATCAGTTAAATAGTACCTAATTACTAGTCCACAATCAAACCTTAACATCATACAAGTTGTGGTCCTTTCTATCACTTCTCAATCATGGTGTAAAACCTTATGATCCCTTACAAGCGTGATTTAGTAGATCCTTAAATTTCTATGCCCTTAAATTCCCTTTAACTCAGCTCTGATTTGTCATTTCTAAAGCCTTTAACTCTACTCTCATTGATCATTTCTAGAACCTTTAAGCTCTCTCTCTCTCAATCGTAGACAATCAGTTTTGGATTCTGATTGTTCTATTGATCATCTCTCTATCGAGTTTATAAAACTTTTTGTCATGATTTCGTTGACCTTTAGAATTATCTTTTTTGAAAATATCATCTTATAAAGTTATTCAGATCTCATGATCCTTCTTCTAAACATAATCCTACTTATTCATAAACACAATTTTATTTTATAAACGATTAATAAATCAAATTTCGTATGGAAATTTTGTTTTATAAACCTTTTATAAAATAAAATTGTGTTTATGAATAAGGGGGACTATAGTTTAGACTCATAAATATTGAATTGGACTTAAATAAATGATCTCAAAGATCTTACATAATACAAACTATTATCATTTTCAAAAATTAACTTACAGATAACTTTATAACGCTATTTAACATTCAATAACACCGCAAAAATTTAACATTATGACCTGTTTTATTTTTCAAACCACATTTCCTTAATCTCTATTAATCTTATTGACAAGTTGCGTACGCTTATAAAAAGTCACCATAAAATATTTTTTGTTTAAATTGAAATTTAATTTAAATAAGTCTTATAAAAATACAACATAAACAAAAACTGGTTGTAAAATTTAACATTAAGACTAACCGGCATTATTTCCTACTAGTATTAAAGTTTTAACAATTTTGCAAAAAATATACATAAAGAGTAACATTAAATTAAAAAACAAGATCAATTAAATTAAGACTCCATTAGTCAGTGTATAGCAAAAAAAATCGCGCTCACTTAAACACTACAAAGAATTTAAATTATTGTTTAGTTTAAAAACACTAGACCAGAGTAACAACTCGAGAATAAAAAAGACACATTTGAAAATTGACGACTGCAAATGGAATTGAAAATTGTGATCAAATCAAAAACATGTAAGTAAGACATATTCGGCAAATTAGAAGTTGATGAGTACTCTAATATTATAGATCGAACATGGACGATTTTGAGTTTCAGAGAATTGAAAACACCTGGAAAAACAATATTAATTAGAGAGGAATATATGGAGTTGAGTCTCAGATATGGTCCTTCGATCAAACTTCTTTCAGTAATAAAGCAACATCTAAGCACTTTATTCACTTCAAGAATTGGTTAGCATTCCTAATCGCATTGTCTCCGCTCAAAGTCTTTGACGATAAATAATAGAGAATTTGAAATTCTGATAGATCAGCTAGTTTGGCTTGACTTTTTATTCTGATAAGATGAATTTACAATAATTATTCAAAAACGACCGGAATATATCAACCTTGTGCTTAAATATTAGCACTGTTTCAAACTCCAGGGAAATATATGCTGATAATCGGTCAAAAGGGGCCATCGCCAAGTAAAAACTCAACTTTTGTAGACTTCTTTAAAATAGTCTCTGATGTAATCTTAGATATTTCCATAAGAAAATTACGATCTTATAGGGATAAAATCTTTAGCTATATAAAGTAGATGTAAAAATCGAGTCAAATATGAACGTGAACCCAAATAGATTTACACATATCTGATAATCTATTATCTGATCTTGGATGTTTCCTAAAGATCGTTGTGATCTTATAACGATAAAATCTTTATAGAAATCGATAAAGTATAAGTAATGTGGCTACTTTAGGTTAGTAGTTAGTTATTAGTAGTTCGATTCCTACCATAGCCACTGGTAAAGGAGCGCACAACAGGCCTGAGAGAGGACTAGACCTCTCGGATTTCTTCGGCTTTGATGTAACATATATTATTCTTTCTATATAGGAATGAAAACTAGAGATTATGGTAAAAGATTTTAACAATTCAGAGCAAACAGAGGATCTAAAAGCATCGTAACTTATATATAGAAAGTAAAAACAGGCATCGAGGGCTTTCAACAAACGGTATAACACATTTCTGATATGTTTTCTAAATTATTTCCTAAAGAAATGAAGATTAAGTAAAAGTGAAATATTAGAAGTTAAAAATCAAGCGAAACTTGGACTTGATCCGTTCAAATCAGGGGACTATGTCAAATTAAAACAAAAAATTAGACACAATAATATGGAAAGTATTCAGAACAGGGAAAAATTGCATGATTCCAAAGAAACGTTCGCATATAAACAGACTGAACTAAGAAACTCTGATTTGATTTGTAATACCGTATACTAAGCGAGATTTTAGCATTTTAGAACTCCTTATATTTTGAGGTCAAGAACGATTCAAGCCATCTTCTGATACCCTGCTATGAAGTGAAGTTTATCCAAGAGAGAGTGTTCTGCAGCGATTGTAACAAATTGTCTGGTCTGAAAGGCGGGTAAGGCAACAATAATGCTCGATTCAAACGAATCAGTAGCTAGATTTCAGCAAATCATATTAATAGGGCTCTTTCAGAGCATTCCCTAAGTATTTGGCTGATTTTATGGCATTCGTTAACATTTCTATTTAGTTGCTACAAATGAAGTTAATAATCTAAACTACCTATTTTTCTCTTATAGCTTAAAATATTCATAGAAGAACGCAAAAACTTGTTTGTAGAATAAACATGAGTTCTTGAAACTTGTAAAGTGCAAAAAATACAAGACAACTGTCAACCAAAATGAAACACTATATATAAAAAAACGAACAAAAAAAATCTGCTAAATTACTTACCACATTTCAGACGATCATTTATTAAATCCTCAATCAATTGGGGACACTCGTTCTCGATGGCATAACAAAATTGTTTAAATTTCTCGAAACCATTTTTGGCAATGATCTCAATTAAATTGGCGCATTGCAAACGTATAATATCGGCATCATTTAAAATGTGATGATTCAGTTCGTCTTTCGTACTATATAAATCACTTAAATTATCGGAATTCTGCTGCTGTTGTTGCTGTTGCGACAGATTGACCACCACCGAAGGTGTAATCGAACGATTATCACTTTGAGCATTATCACCCACAACACTGGCACTACGTGAATTGGTAATACTATTGTTATCATTGTTATGGGCCAGTGAGGCACTGGTGGTACTGCCAGCACTACTGCTGGTACCGCTAGCATTACTGATGACAGCACTTAGTTTACGTTTGGTTACCCCTACCGAAGAGGGAGCCGATGCGGTTTGTACAGCAGCATTATGGGGTTTGAGTAGCAGATCTTCTTCGGATTGTGTTAAAACGGAATTTTTTACTAAAACCGCCAGTAGTTCAGTATTGGCCAAATCTAGTCTTATACGTTCCTGATGACGTTCTAACAAGGTGCGCACTTCCTCTTCTTCTTCCTCACGCGTCATGTTTGTGGAATTGGTAGGAGTTTCACTCATTTTAAGAAATTTTTTTTCTTGATTTGTTTGTTAAAAATTTATTTTAGTAATTTACACTTTTAGCACTTTTTTCATAATTTTTTCATTTTCTTGTTTTTCCTTTTTTTTACAGGAAATGTAATTTTTTTTATAAATTTGTTTTATTTTTTAAATTTGTTAAGCATTTTTTGTGCTTCTGAAAAAATAAAATTGGAATCAATTATATTTATTTTAAACACTTTTATAATATTTTTTTGCAGAATTAACAACAAAATCTATATGTAAATAAATTGATTGACAAGACCTTTGTATTTTGTTGTTGTTTTTTTACTTTTCTTTATTTTTTACAGTGATTTTGCCATTAAACTCTTATAATGGCGTTTGTTTTTTTTTTAACTTTACAAACCGACGCGCATTTTACAAAAACACCACATAAAAATACAACAAAAACAAATCAAAACATTCAAATCGTATTGTAAGTAATCAAGTTAGCAGTAGTAGAAGAAGAAGAAGAAAGAAAAAATTACACTTTTATAAACTTTCAACACAATAATAGCAGACATCTGTGACGTTTAAAATCTACGTTAAGACTAAACCGGCTCTAAAGCAAAACATTATCACGAACCCCACGTCTATACAACAAAACAACAGCGAACGTAGTAACACGAACTCGTCATACAACAACATAATAATGAAGCATTCAAACATAATAATGAACAATAGACAAACAAGCAGTCAGTTTCTAGTATTGAGCTAATGCAGTGTGTGTTAGTTTAATAAAGAGAAGAAAGAGCAAAATGTAAACAACGTCAAAAAAAGTACAAGAAAAGAAAACAACAAAACAATAACAAATGTTTATTTCCCTATTTAAAACGTATACACACTCGTTCATACATACATGTTTTAACGTTATTTTGTTTTTCAGATGTTGCCATATTTATTTAGGCGTCTTTCAAATAAGACTTTTAGTTGGATGTTGTATTTGATGTGGCCATAATTAGTTGTTGGTTTTATTATAATATGCATTTCAAACATGTTGTGTTTGAAATGATGTATACTGTTGTCAAACTAGTTTGAATAAGGTTGTAAGCTGTTAATGGGTGATGGTTTGGGTTGTGTGGGATATTTTATATAAAAAAATTGCAAATTTTATTCAAATTAGTATTTTATTCTGAAATCTGTACTTTTTCTGGTCGAATACTGTACTAATTATAGAGTAATCTGTTGACTAGTACATGGACTAGTCTATTATGTAGCGGTATGCATTAAAATCGAAGGCCTCTTTAAAAAAGTTTGATCAACTTTTGGATCAACTGAATTATATGGAATAGATGGTTACGTTGCTAGATATACGATATCTCCTTTCATCCCATTTACTATGGGTATCCACGATTAATAGTCCTGAGGACCCTAACCGTCATAGATTTAGTCTGCTATGCAATTGATATTGTAATCGGTTGTGGGCACTATATAGGAGAATCAAAGTCACGAAATATCTACATGATTAATTCAGCATACTTGAACCTTGGATATAAGTTGGGCCATGAGAACTACGTCAACCAAGAATCTGGAAACATGACTGGAAATTCCCCAGGGGACACTTACAACCGATCCGATCTTATCTTTAGGCTAATTGACTAAAGGTGGTTAGTTACAGAATTGTATACCAGCAAGAAGGCAATAATATAATGATAAGATTAAGTCTAAGACTGCATTAGACTGTAAAAGATCCTTAACAGAATACTCTTCCAGAGGTAAGCTTTCCATCATATGGGTACAAGGCCACTCGGGAATAATCGGCAATGAAAAAGCGAATGTACTTGCTATAAAATAACGAATTCCAAACCGTTTAACGCAACAGGAGCAACGAAGAGAGAATATCTATCAGCTACTTGGAATAATGAAACGGTGGGTAGAACCACAAAGATTCTATGGGCGACCCAAAAGAGAGCAGGACGAAAAGCCTCCTTAGAAAGAGCAAGTTCAAGGTTAGTATGATGGTACGTATTCTGAGCGGACACGCGTGATTATGGGCGAACGTATTCAGACAAATATAGAGCATGTGGAGAAGGCAGTGAAACTCTAAACATTCTTTGTCATTATATTGGCATTGAAGTTATTCCATATATAACATCATTCAGGAATACTGATTGGAAAATTCTAAGAAAATACGTCCAGGAAACATCAGGCGATGTTAATACCATCATAGAGCACTATTTAAGGTTTTTCACACCAATATTTCCCATGTAAAGGAGTTCACAATAGAGTGACCATCGGAGGTTCTGGGTGTATTTGATGTAGCTTCCTTTCTCTCTAACCTATTATCGAATTGTCTACTGTTTCTGGATAGAAACACCCACACAAGTACGCAAGATTTGTTTTCATAAAGTTCTTGAGACTTCGTCGTCAACGGTGCGTACCGAACAGAATTGTGCTACAGAGCCGTGATGTTCGATAAAAGTGATAACAGCTTTGATAATGTCAATAGGAGTTCTCACCGATTTAAAGCCTTTTTCGCAATGTTGTGCAAAAAGTTTGTGAGACTAGAATCTGAATAGGTAGGTCAATACAGAGAGACTTAATTACGGACCGTTTCCTGGACTGAAATGGAAGATATGTAGGTGTATAATCTTCTGTTTTCGCAGCCTTTAGACTTTTCCGTAATACAGAAATGATTCTAAGGGTTAATATCGTCCGAGCCATTCATAAAATAGAATCGGAAACTATTAAAAAAGTCTAGAAGATTTGGACTGACAGGATAAGGAGGTACTGCGAAGAACAGAACGACAGCCAGGTCCATAATAGAATATAGAGTTTTGTGACAATTTTGTGAATTTTGTGCTGTCCGTTAAAAAAACAGCTGATTATTCACAAAAAAGTATTAGATCTGAATCAAATTGAATATGTTGTTCCTATACTCCAACTCTTAATATGAACTGCTTCGGCAGTAGTAGTTAACATAACTTCTGATATTGTCCAATAATGCTTATACGACTTTCAATGCCGTAAATTTCATTCTGCAAAAAAGAGCATCTTAGAGAGACCAAAAGACCTGATCCGTCAAATGGAAATTCCTGATCCTTTAGCGTACATCATTTTGAAACTGTTATGAAAGAAGAACAAGGTTTCCGGCCCAAACAGATTTTGTCTAACATTTTCTTCAAACTGTTCCCAATTTTAATCTTTAACTCCATAACAACATGTCATTTTCTTGGCCATTGATTTTTGCCTTAACTTAAGCTGGTTAACCTCCCCTTTCATTCGTACATATAAGACTTCCATTTAAATACTTTTCCAAAGCAATTTCAGTCATTACAACATCTTTAATATATTGATTTTCGAGCTAAACAAATAACTTGGTACTTTTTTTATTTGCACTTCAAAGAAATGAATGAACAGAAGGCTGATGTTAATGAAAATCTTGTTGAAACATTCAAGTTCAATTCAAAAACTCTATATGTTATCATTAAATAAGGGTGGCTCATTTGTTCATCAAAAACCACCCTTTATCGCAAATTTGCGAAAAATCTTAAGCCCAACAACAAGCAACCCATATAAAGATATGTATGTTGTATGATATTTTAATGCAAAATTTTATATTTCCATTTATGAACTGAATGCATGATAACTAAATAGGAACAAGCAGCAGTAAAATCTCTAAGAATCACTCAATTTCTTTTTTCATTTATTTAAAAATGAACAGTTTACATGAACAAACACCTTGAATTGCTTGCAACATATTTATTTTTTTTTAAATCTTTATAATGTGCAACAGTTAAGGCGTTTTTTTTTTCCATATGACTTTTGCTACTTCTGATGAGTTTCTTTAACACATCATGTCAAGCATGCAATCTGAAAGCCTACCAATAGTTTGTTTAGATTTACATGGTTCATCCATATAATAGGAAGGGAGTTGGAAGTAAATGCAGAGAATGTGTTTTTTTATCCAAAGTTGTAATAATAATTACATTGTTCAGAGTGTAGCAGCATCGTAGAAGGAAATAAAAGATATAGACGTGATTTGCAATTAAAAATATTTAAAGAGGTTGTTTAGCTACAGCTCAACGTAATCACATGATGAGGGAAGGGTAACGAAAGGAATTGAGGGAAAAAACTTTTCTATAGAAAACTTCAGCAACGATCGATAGAGAAATTCAACATCGATGACTAAAGCTATAGAAAACACAAAGCATAAATAGATCGGTTTTCTATAGAAAGCATCAATAACGATCAGTGTTTTTATATCGAAATGTTTTCTATATGTTTCAGTGATCAGTTTTATACAGAAAACTTTAACATCAACAATTTTTCTATAAAAAAACTTTAATATCGATCAGTTTTCCTATATGTATCGGCATTAATCAGTTTACTATAGAATAATTCACGCTCAGTTTTCTACGAAAAATTTTAACATCGATCACTTTTCTATAAAAAACATCAATAACTATATGCCTTTTATAGAAAAATTTACTGGCGATTACTTTTTATAGAAAATCAATTCTATATAAAATGTTAACCTTGATCAGTTTTATACACAAAACTTCTGCATCGATCAGTTTTATATACACCGATCACCGATTTTATATAGAAAACTTCAACATCTATCAGTTTCCCATTTTAAACTTCAACATCGATCAGTTTTCTAAAGAAAACTTTAATACCGATTAGTTTTATACAAAAAACTTCCTTCATCGATCACCTACAGCGATCTATTTTCTACAGTAAACTTCTACAACGATCAGTTTTCACAGAACTTCAAGATCGATGACTTTTTTATGAAAAAACCTTCAACATCGATCAACTTCCCATAGAAAATATCAACATCAATTAATTTATAATAGAAAATTTAAGTTTTATAAAGAAAACTTTAACATCGATCAGTTTTCCATACAAAACTTCAACATCGATCAGTTCTCTGTTGATTTTCCATTGATCTGTAGGTAATGCAATTTTCGATTAAAAAGTTATTCAACATCAAAGTCTAACGGCTGTATTTATAAAAACTTATTTTAGGTTTATTAAACAATTTTAGGCAAAATTCAGGAAAATCGTATTTATAAACGTGAAATAGCTTAAAACACCTTCAATAAACCATTGATAATTAGAAGAATTTTATTGTAGGCTCGACCCTTCTTTAAGCCAACAATAAGTTGATTTTTAAAAATGTT